CTAAACCAAGAAACCCTTATAAAAATAGGGCATCAAAATGAAGTCTTTTTATTATGTGGAAAAGTTTTTGAAAAGTCTTTTGAAGCTCTTTGATCCAGCTTTGAAATAATTTTGGTAGATTACTATTGTACGAAACCCATAATTTATAGTAGCTGACCTAAGCTGCTCTTTGTATAACAGCCGTATATGAAACAATAGCAGGAAAGTGAAAAACACAAGGGGAACTAAAACTGCTCTGTTTATTATTTAGCTCATAATTACATCTTCCTTATTTAATCTTTTGAATCCTGGCATGTTCTTAATAATACAGGTTCAAATAATATTTACTATACACAGGAGAGTTAGTTTTGAGTAACGCATTTAGACTATCCAAACTTTGTGTAACTTGTGACCTTTCCCTAACCTAAGCGAGGTCTATTTTATACAGATCGTAATAGATAGACGGTTTCTCTATAAATGGTGAAGTTGCTGCCAAGCTCCCATTGTTAGCTAGTTCATTTTTCAACAGGCACACTTTAGGTTCCTATCACACCACTGTAAAGAGCAAGCCCTTGAGGTTTCTTCTTTTGTCAATGTAATAAAATGGCTATTTCTGAATAACCTGCAAATCCGCAACAAATGGCCCTTTGTGACTTAGAATAACATGATAGGAGGAATTTTGTTTTGTTTTGTTTTTGCAGGCAGCCTCCTATTTTGTTTTATAATATTAAATTAATACTTGAGCAGCATTTGCCTTAACGTTTTTGTAACCCCATCCTCGAAATAACAAAAGCATGTTTCTAACAACTGTTGTTCTTGCTCTGTATTCACTGTCTAACTGCGAAGATCCCTTCAGAAGCTATCTAAATAGCAAGACTACTTCGGCTGAAGTAAAAAGTCCAGTTCAATTCTGTTTACTTTTTGTTGACCCTTGAGGCGTCATCATCAACTCTGGTAAATACAAACGACCTGTGGGATGTACAAGCTTTTGCCAGACGACTGTGGTTTGCAAACGGGGAGCTAGCCATCTTTGCCCTTCTGAGCCTAGTAGATTTTGGCACGGGAGGAGCGCTACACCTTTGACTTCAACAGACCTTCTTGCAGAAGTGCTGCACAAGCTAGGCATGAACTTGCAGAAAGGAAGGCTCTTTAATGGACGAGACCGCTGTAACAGCTAAATTCCTAACATTGGCTATGCCTATTTTCTAGTAGCACAGACGCACTCTTAACTTAGTCCTTTGTACAGCTCTACTCTGAGTAGAGGAGTGATTATACTGCACTAGTGCTCTGGCTCTGTGAACATTCCCAGCCTGCAGAAATGACCTGTATTTCAAACCAAGAGAATGAAGAGCATCACAATGCTTCTCTGTTACAACACAGTGTGGAAATTCAAGGACAGTCTGCCTGGTACCTAAAGCTGCTATTTAAATTAGAGTAAGAGCAAAATTGCTTGAGATGGTGGGTCAGCCCAAATGCATAAAGAACTGGAAAGAGCACTCTTCAGAAGCAGGCAGCTGAAAACGTAGGACAGACTTTTCAAAGGGGAAACAAGGGCAAACGGGAGGATACTGAATAAATAAATGTGAAATGGTTAAAAAAAAAAAGCAGAATTAAAAGGGGAAGATTTAAAGGCAAATGGAAAGAGCCATGAATAGTCTTCTGTAGTAGTCTAGATAGTGGAGAAATCCAATCCAGGAAAGAACGACTTTTTGAATGAGCGAATATAACAAAATAGGGTGAAAATTATTGTGAACTATCTGTACTATTAATGTGATAAAATATTAATGAGGTAAGCACAGTAAGACATTTGGTCCTTTTTCTTCAGCTTTAGGGCAGAAGTTTTATTCCGCTCTGAGCTGGCTTTAGGGAACGC